AGAACAATCAGTAAGAGTGAAACAAAATAAGTAAGTAAGTTGTAACTCACCTCAGTCAGATAAGAATTGACTGAGGTGTTTCTACACTATCTAGAGACCTTTTATACTAACGGAATAAAATAAGATATAGCTCAGTCAGATAAGAATTGACTGTAGTATATTTGGAGTAACTATACCTAACGGAATAAAATAAGATATAGCTACGAGAATAATCAGTAAGAGTGAAACAAAATAAGTAAGTAGGCTGTAACTCACCTCAGTCAGATAAGAATTGACTGAGGTGTTTCTACACTATCTAGAGACCTTTTATACTACGAGAAATAATAAAAGGAGTATGTACAAAAGTAGAATTAATCATACTAATCAATTGTATCTACGTTACAGAATCCGAGTAATAAATGCGTTGCTATTTCGTCTAAATAATACGTGGGTCCAATATTAGGAATTCCGAGTGGTGCTTTAAGGGCGGGCGATGCGCGAGACGGTTTGTATTTCCAACATATACTACAAGAAATAATAAAAGGAGTATGTACAAAAGTAGAATTAATCATACTAATCAATTGTATCTACGTTACAGAATCTGAGTAATAAATGCGTTGCTATTTCGTCTAAATAATACGTGGGTCCAATATTAGGAATTCCGAGTGGTGCTTTAAGGGCGGGCGATGCGCGAGAGACGGTTTGTATTTCCAACAAAGTCTACTGTAATTCAATTCGCATTCAGATATGAACCGCGTATTGCATTAAGTGAGGCTTAGTTACTTGTATTTGTTGATTATATACCTGCTCAAGATATACTTGGAAAAGAACGCAAGAGTTGATGGCATTCAAATGTTCGTCAATGGCCTGACTTGTTACGTGTCCACTCCTTTAGAAACTCAGCCAGTTTATATCATATATCACGACTATCAGAGTACATCTGTCGATTCAACGGTATAAGAATAACATTCAAACAGAACCATCTTGAATCATCAACTACTACGCTTCTTCCTGTGACTTCTCATACTACCGTCTTAATTGACTTTGCCTACCCCTGCATTGGACTGGACATAGCTACCAACCTGCGATGCAGCCATAATACTTGCAGATTTGTATGTTGACTGCGCTTTATATGAATACATGTACTCCTTCATAAAATTAATAACATACCGCGGTGAAACCATTCAAGGTACCAGCATCTGTTCCCGTGCCAGGAAGTGCGCCAGATGAAATGCTTAAAATGAACTGAGTAAGCTGCTCTGGCTAAAGTCGTAAAGCTGGAAGACGCTTACGCGGTGTTGGCGACACAGCTCCGACCAAGGAGCGATGAGCATTGTGCGGTCTGCGCTGAAGTAACGGGGGCGAATGCCTGTCCATCGCCTTGCAGGATGGGGGTCGTCACCTGAAAATATTCATTAAAAATAGAGCGATAAATATAGCAACTCCGAGTTGCGACGAACAGTGTTAAAGTAGTTTCCTTCTATAAGGACCTTCGAGCCGACTTCGGGATCGACGGCATGTCCACCCACGGAAACTAATTTTTCACCAAAGAAATTATTCAGTACGCATTCTGATACTCGGTGAACCTGAACAGAAAGTACTACTTACCAAAATACTAGATGCCACAGGTATGATTTTTATAGCTGCATTAAAAAGAGGAAAATCTTACGTTATTGTATATATGAACGTTTTGGTAGTATCCGCTGGTTCCGCTGTAGGCAAACGTACATTAGTCTGGAATCTGTGTGCACAAGATCCCGTTTCAAAATAATCACCCTCTGAAATGTTGAACGTGTGTAAGACTACTAGTGAGAGTGTGTGGATGAAATACAATACGTACACATGTGGTCCACGTCCACTCGTCCTGAAAGCGTGAAAGTTAGAATTTTATTGATGCATAGTGTACACCCTACGAATAAGACGAACCTATAGAGGCTTTTTAACCAAACGACTGGTATTAAGAAGATGCTTGCAAATATACGAGTTAGGCGTACTAGTTAAGAGCAAAGGTGATTTGATCACCAGCACCGGTGAATAG